CAGGACCCTGAGATCAGGACCTGAGCTGAAGGCAGGTGCTTAACTGACTGAGCCACCCAAGTTCCCCAAGAATTACAAATTTAAAAGAAGAAATTATATGTACGTTTCCTATAAAAATGATTCCTAACTGTATTATACAGATATGTTTTTCAAAAAATATAATTATTCACGGCATTGTAAAGATCAATTCCAATGAAATTTTCAAGGAAGTGTTTATGAGCATTAAAGGAATAACTTTCAGGATAAATAATGTTAGTTGCTGCAAAGAAAAAGAAATTTCTAATTTTGGTGGCTTACCACAATAAAAACTTTTTTTTTTAAATTTTATTTATTTGACCGACAGAGATCACAAGTAGGCAGAGAAGCAGGCAGAGAGGAGGAAGCAGGCTCCCTGCTGAGCAGAGAGCCCAATGCAGGGCTCCATCTCAGGACCCTGGGATCATGACCTGAGCTGAAGGCAGAGGCTTTAACCCACAGAGCCACCCACGTTCCCCCCCTAATACAAACTTTTATGTTTTTTTGTTCACTCAGTACAATGGGGATACTTCTGACCCATGGACATCTTTCTACATGATTTAGGGACCAATGCTTTTCTATCTTCTGGTTCTTCTTTCCTCTAGTTTTTTAGACATCTCACTCCCAACAAGAATGGAGAAGAAAAAAGGGAACAAAAGACTTACAGGACATTTCTTATGGATCAGAGTATAAGATTAAAAAACCACTGTGAACTCATTCACATGGTCCCAAATAATAAAAGATAATTAAGCTTATGCCAAAAGCCAAGGAAACAGAGGAACAAGCAGCTAGGTTCTGTTACACAGGACAGATTTTCTAGCAGAATGATGTATGATAATAAAAGATAATAAAAGTGATTTAAAAATTGTCAAAAATGTGTTTTTGATAGTATAGTGTATTCTTAGTACTGTAGGTTTCATTACATGTTATTATTACCAGAAAAGAATATTATATTCACTACTAAGAATATTCATTTTATAACAGATCAACTTTGTTTTTCCTTTTATGTTTTATTTATGTCTTTGTTTGAAAATCCATTGAACATTTTAATTTGTTTTACAAATCTAAGGCACTGCAATTAACTGAAGAATTCTTTACTTCATTATAATGAGTAGACTACAATATTTAGTATATGAAAAGGTAAAAACATTTATGATTATCAAAAATGACTATGTTTTAAATATAAATTATTTTGAATTAGTAATTATTTATTTGCAATAATTTATTTTTAATTAAACTTTTTAAAATTTTAGAATAGTTTTAAATTTACTGAACAGTTACAAAGAGAGTTCAGAGGATATTGTATACTCTGCAACCAGTTTTCACTATTATTAATATCTGATTTTAGTACATTTGTCACAGCAGATTAGCCAATATTAATACACTATTATTAACCAAAGTCCATATTTTATTTGGATTCCTTCGTTTTTTTGTTTTTTGTTTTTTTTAGTTTATTAATTTATTTTGAGAGAGAGAGAACAGAGGGAGGGGCAGAGGAAGAGGGACAAAATCTCAAACTGACTCCTCACTAAACTGAGCATGGAACCTGACATGGGGCTCTATCTCATGACCCTGAGATCATGACCTGAGCCAAAATCAAGAGCTGGTATTTGACCAAAGGAGTCAGTCAGGTGCCCCAGGATTTTCTTAGTCTTAAACTAATGTCGTTTTCTTCCCCAGGATCTAATCCAGGATACCACTAACGTAATATTAGTACTCATGTTTCTTTAGTCTCCTCTGGTTTGGAAAATTTCTCAGATTTTCTTGTGTTTTGTTTTTTGGTAGAAGTATAGTTGACATACGATATTATATTAGTTTCAGGCATACAACATAGTGATTCAACATTCATATACATTATGAAATACTCACTTCAATAAATATAGTGACTATCTGTCACCAGAGTTACTACAGTATTATATGCTCTCAGCTGTATACCACATCTTTATCCATTCATTTATTGACGGATACTTATGATGCTTCCATATCTTAGCTATAATTAAGTAATACTGCAATGAACATGGGGTGCATATATCTCTTTGCTAGGTGTTTTCGTTTTCTTTGGACAAATATCCAGAAGTAGAATTGATGGATCATATGGTAGTTTTATTTTTAACTTTTTGAGGAGTTTTCATACTATTTTCCATAGAGGATGTACTGGTTTATATTCCCACCAACAGTGCATGAGGGCTCACTTTTCACCCCCTCCTTGCCAACATTGTTATTTCTTAACTGTTTGATACTAGCTAATCTGACAGATAGGAGTGGTTTCATTACATTTCATTCATTCATTTCATTGTGGTTTTGATTTGTTTTTCCCTGATGATTAGTGATATTAAGCATCTTATCATGGGTCTGTTGGCCAATATGTATGTCTTCCTTGGAAAAGTGTCTAGCTATTCAGGTCCTCTGCCCATTTTTTAACTGCACTTTTTGTTTTTTTGGTGTTGAGTTGTATGAGTTCTTTATATATTTTGGATATTAACTCCTTATCAGATATATCATTTGCAAATATCTTCTCCCAACTCATAGGTTGCCTTTTCAATTTATTGATGAGTTCCTTCAGGAAAACTGACCAGTTACATGCGAAATCATTAAACTGGGCCACTTTCTTAAACGATATATAGAAGTAAATTCAAAATGAATTAAAGGCCTAAACATAAAACCTGGAATCATAAAATTCTTAAAAAAAATAGTAAACTCTTAAACATCAGCCTTAGGAATAGTTTTTTGGACCTATCTCCTCTGGCAAGGATGACAATAGCAAAAATAAATAATTATGACTGTATTAAACTAAAAATCTTTTGCACAGACTTTCCTTGTTTTTGATGACCTTGATAGTTTAAAGAAGTAGTGGTCAGGTATTTTTAGAATTGGGATTTGTTTGATGATTTTATCATGATTAGACTGGGATAATGTGTTTTTAAGAAAAAAATCCCTATGATAAAGTGTCATTCTCATTACTTTATATCATATGTCTATGCTATTAATATGATTAAGTACTGTTGATGTGAACATTGGTCATTTGACTTAGGTAGTGTTTATCAGATTTCTCCATGGTAATGTTACTTTCCTCCAACCCCCATTTCCATCCTGTGCACTTTGGAATACAGTCACTAGGTTCAGCCCAAACTCAAGAGGTAAGAAGTTATGTTTTATCTCCTTGAGTGTAAAGTATCTCATAAATTATTTGGAATTATACTGTATAAAGTATGTATCTATTATTCTGACTCATGTATTTATCAATCATTTATTTTTCTCAGTATGGACTCATGGGTATTTATTTCATATTTTGGGTAAACTATTTTCTTGCTCAAATTATTCTAGCTTTGGCAGTTGGCTCATGTGTCCCTTTTACATAGTCTCATGGTTTTGTTTTTTGAGTACTCATTGCTTTCTGGCATTACAAGACTCTCCACACTCACTTTTACATTCTGCATTTTAGTCCTAGAATCAGCTAGATCTCTAAAGAGATCCTTTTATTGGAGAATGGTATGAGCAACTAAGATCTAGGTTCTGGTCAAACTTATTATTTTTAAAATGAAATCTATTTTTTTTTACATTACTAGGATTGCTTAAATAATTATCTATGTACCTTTAAAGATGTATAATTAAGTAAATATATACTAAGTCTTACCTAACCAAACATTAGAAAACAGTGCATATGTGCATATTTAATGTTTTTTACATATATATGTCAGAATATTATTTAAAATTATAATTAAATACTTGATGATTAATTTCTGGCAGGTGATATAGTATTCCTATGACTTACTTCATTAAACTATATTCAGATCCATGAGGTAAGTGTATTCTTATATCTAGTTAACTATTAAGAGAACTATAATTTCATGAGTTTATATAGATATAAAATACTTGAAATTTGTCAGCAGTTATGTTTTTTCTTTAATAGGAAAATCTAAGAAAATTAGGTACAACATTTGAAAATATCTAAATTGATTGTATTTAGTTGAACACGGTGATGGTTACTTTTATGTGGCAACCTGACTGCGCCACAGAGTGCCCAGATTAGCCAGTATTTCCAGGTGTGTCTGTGAGGGTGTTTCCTGAAGATACAAGCATTTGGATCAGTAGACTCAGTAAAGTAGACTGCTCTTCCCAAACTGGGCAGGGATCAGCCAATCTGTTGAGGGCTTGAGTAGCACAAAAACTAAAGAAAGGGAGGACTTGCTCCTTTTCTGCTTACCTGCTGAGTTGAGAAGCTGCTTTTTATTTCTTTTTGGACTGGGATTTATACAGCTTTTTATTTCTTTTTGGACTGGGATTTATACAATCTTCTCCCCTGGTTCTAATGCCTTTGAATTCAAGACTAAAATTACACCACTGGCTTTCCTAGGTCTCTGGCTTGCAGACAGATCATGAAACTTCTCAACCTCCATAATTGTCTGAGCCAATTCCTCATAATGAATTGCCATAATACACAGATAGGTATAGATACATAGATATATCTCCCATTGGTTCTGTTTCTTTGGAGAACACTAGCTAATTTAGTTTTCAAATTCATAGCTTAGGAAAAGATACTAAATCCAAGGAAGCATCCAGATTTACTTTTCATATATTAGTCAACACAATAATTTATAAATAATGATTAGTTTACTAAAAGGAAAGAAAGAAAGAAAAAACCTGACAATTTCTTGAGAAACTGAAAGAACAGGAAAAAAATATTTAAAATATAATATGGTAGACTGGCAATAAATTCATTACTTTTCATTTTATCATTTGGTTGCATCAGTGGCCTTTCCAAAAGAAAGGTAAGAAACTCATCTATTTCAGTGAATGTATAAGCAAAGGTCATTTCACTCTAGTTTCTGCCTAAGGGATAATTGGTTGGTCACTTTAGAAGTGGACTTTAAGAAAATGAAGGACTAATAATGTTGTTGGAAGACTGAAATGAGTTCAGATAAGAGACAGAAATGCTTTTTAAAGTTAATTATGTTTGCTTTACCTTTTCTCTTGGTGTTCATTACCTTTAAATGGAGCCACACGATGGCAGAAGTAATTACCAGGTTGGTCAATGCAGGTAGCACCATTCTTGCATGGATGCGAAGAATACAAATCTGTGTTTATTTTATATCTTGAAACTTTAAAAAAATAATAAAAAGGTTTTAAGTTTTAATAAGGCAACCAGGTGTCAGGTTATAATTCTTAAATTTCCCCAAATCTTTTAACCCATTTCGGGTGATATCTGAGACTAAATTCCTCAGATAAAAAATGCCTCACATATTAGTGTCAGAATCCATTCATTTCACCTTACTACAAACTGCAACAACTTCTCTTGGAATTACTAAATGCAGACTAATCTCCCTTGAATTGGTAGGCATTTAAAGTCTGCTTGGATGTGAAATAATTTATCTTCTGCTTTGGATTCTAGAGACAGAATAGATGTTTCAAGTTACTGGGATACAAATCAAATGTTAATTTAAGGAAAATAAAAAGGACCAAAAAGGAAGTACTAGTGAATCAACAGCATCCTTATGTATGTCCTCCAGGGCTAAATGTTTTTAAATGGCACAGTTGTCAAATGTTACTTACCAATAAAGCCAGGGGGGAACAAGTATTTGAATTTATCCATGAACTCTGTAGATGTAGTGTTATGGAGGCAGGGTGATGAGTCACATTTCTTTTTATTAATTTCACAAAGCAGGTCTATATGGAAAGAAAATAAATCGGAAGTATTCATTTACTATATAGTTTTAACATTTTCTTTTTTCTTTTTCTTTTTCTTTCCTTTAAGTAATCTCTATGCCTAAGGTGGGACTCAAACTCACCACCCCAAGATCAAAAGTTGTATGTTCTATGGAATAAGCCAGCCAGGGACCCCTTAACATTTTCTTTTAACTGGTTCTGTAGTGCAGATTTCCCATGAATGTTCCACTTAGAGCTGTGTTTCTAAAGCTGACTTTCATTTTCTGTCACTTGGATTGTTTGTTAATTTGCAAAGCATTGAAAACATAGCCTAAGCTGATTCTGAATTGATTTTTAACTTTTTTGATAGCTAATTTTTTTTTTTGCCAATTTTGAATAAGAACAGAAAAATTGGCTTTGACACATAACACATGGTATTAGCAAGTTAGAAGAATGGAAATCTTTCTAATCTTAAATGTTTTTCTCTAAAATGGTGAAATGAATCTGGGCTGGAGGAAAATTAAGGTAATAGATAACTAAATAGGAAAGAGCATACCTAACTAAATAGAAAACCTATTTATTTGTATTATTATGATAACTAACAAAATATTAAGTGAAAATGTGGCATTAGAATATCAAGTTAACCCAGGAAAAAATGAAAATTAAAAATAATAATGAGTGAATAAATACTTTGCTTAAACCTTAAAATTATTTTTTGGTAATTTTCCTTATGAATCAACTTTGTGAGAAGAAAAATGGCACATTTAAAAACCTTAGCTTATTCCTTATAGTTAGGGATGTGCCAAAATTCACTTCTTCAAAAGACCTTGTTTTTGCTCTGTGTCATACAATTTTAAGAAATAATCTTGAGTTTTTGTTTATGATAAACAGTACATTAAGTTTTAATAAGTGACCACACAGATCTGAAGATGGTCATTCTTAAGGTTAACCGCAACAAACCAGTTTCTCAGATATAATAGGGGGAAAAAAAAGTTGTTTCATTGTGGTTTTCAAAACAAGTAAGACTTTCTCATTGCTTAAAGGTTATGCAGTGCTTTATTTTTGAAACAATCATTCACATAGAAGTAGAATTAGGAACACTTTTGGGAAGATAGATTTTGGACAACATTTTGGCTTATAATGATGGCAGTTTGACAGTATTTGCTTGCATATAAAGTACTGAGAGTCTGAATACTTTTTCCAATCTTGGAAAACAAAGGTCTATTATTAGAGTGTCCTCCTAATGTAAAAAAACATAATATTTAAAAACATAAACAGCTCTTTATCAAAATAACGGATATATATTGACAAGGGCTATAGTAGGAGTTACCAGAGTAACAGAATGAAATATGGTATAAAAAGAAATATTAGAAGTTTTAAATATGAGTGTGATGGGGGGCCCTCTGGGAGGCACCATCAGTTAAGTGCCAGACTCTTGGTTTAGGCTCAGGTTGTGATCTTAGGGTTGTGAGATCCAGCCCCACAGTGGCCACCTCCATGCTCGGCATGGAATCTGCCTAAGATTCTCTCTCCCTCTCCTTCTGCCCCTCCCCCACTCACATGTGCATGCTCTTTCTCTCAAATAAATAATCTTAAAAAATAATAAATATAAGTGTAATGAACTTAGAGTTGATAAACCTAAAAAAAAAGTTTATTTACAAAAGCAAAGTATTCATTCAACACTAAATATATCTGTTTCTGTGATTATGTGAATATGTAGTAAAATAACCCAAGCAGATACTATATATTCAAATGTTCTCCTGGGAAAAGAATTAATATGCATGTTTATTAGATGAATTGTATCTTCTAAAAATAAGGAGTTACTTCTACCTCAAATTAACCTTCAGGTATTAGTTTTGGTTAGCATGTTGCCTGCCTTGAAATCCGTTCTGACACAGGCAGCTAAAGGTGCTGTAAAGATCAACACAAGTAACCCCTTTTGCACAGGCATCACTAAGGCCCTCATCCACCTCGATCTCACAGTTATTATTTAGAAACAAGCAAAGGATTCACTTCATTTTAAATGTGTCACTGATACAACTTGCAACTAAGTCTAAGATGATGTTCAGATTTTCAACTTGTCTGCAAAAATTCGACACATTGCCTAATGCCATCCATTACTCTTTCTGTTTTTGTTCTCATGTGACTACAACTATGGCTTTATTCTCATCTTCATGCACCTATAATTCAAAATTTACATTACTTCCTTAAAATTGAATACATACATGACTATTTATATATACTTATACAATGTTAACCAAACTGACTTTCTTTGATGCCTCTCCTTGAAAAACAGTCCATTATATATATTTGAATCCTTTCTGCAGTTCTTTAAAAACAAAACAAAAACCGTAACTAAGACCTTCTCAGCTCCTTGTTTCTTTAAGTTACTGTTGGCTTGCAAATTGGCCCTTGTACATGGAGGGCAAGGAAAGACAGAAGAAAGAGGTTGAGCACCCCAGACTGGTAGGTGGTAAGTTTAATAATAAGGGAACTTTTCTACAAGGCCTGCCTTGGGCTGCCAAAAAATCAGGAGATTTCTACATTTACTTGCCAGAATCTTAACTTTATTTATACTCTATAACTTGGTTCAGCCACGTATTCAATCCAGATAATCTTAACATCTTCCTCTTTCAAGTTTAGATCCTTAAAACAGCTCCCAGTGTGACAATAGTGGGCAACATGTATTATATATGTATTCTAAGAACAGAGGCAGCGGTAAGGAGCCTCCAAATGCCCCCATATAACATGAGGGTCAACAAGCAGCCACATTCTCTCAATGATCTCCTTCAACAATTACTATAAACTGAATTTATTTTCATATTCCCAAATTACTTTAAATAATTTCTAAGTAGAAAAAGGTAGTGTTTTTTTGCAAAATTATTTAAGGAAAGAATACATAGTGGAATTTGTCTCTTATTTCCTTGCACTATTCATCCTCCGAACTCCCTTTTGCCATATAGATAATTAACTGCTTAATAATTCTTTAATAAAAGTTAAAGACCATCTCTCATGATAGGTGAAAATCCAAGTTATATCTTTCTCAGTTGCGGGTACCCCAAAATGTGGATATGCAACCAAAAGCTGGCTAATATATCATGGACCCACCACAGGATTTGAAAGCAAGCTGGTGATGACAAGAAACAGGGATGGAGAACTCATTTGTTTTGCAGCTGGTAACATCAGGACAACCATAACAGTTTTCCATGGCCCTACTAACAACACTGCTTCAGTGTTATTTAGTGTCACTGCCACCCATCCCTATTGACGTTGTGATAATATATGATGTTTCCTTATCTACTGTCTAGACTCCATCTTATATGCCAATTTTCCATATCTGGTTCTAGAAGCTCCTATAGGTCGTACTTGTAATGTTCTTTAATAAACTCTAAATTAAATAATTTTCTTGTTAAACCACACTGAGTATATTTCTAATACCCACAGTGAATAACTCCATTACCGGTATGCACAACAATTTGTTTTTGACATTATTATTAAATATTTATATTTCAATTTTACATATAAAGCAATCAGGGAAAAAACTAAGAAGAGTTTTCAGTTATCTGTAGCAAATATCACTAATGTTAATAAATCATTAATGCTAATCTGTATTTCATGTCTTCTATTTTCAGGGGCAAAGAAGGTCATAACCACCAGCCTTTGAAGTTAGGGATATTTGTTTATACTTTCTTTTGCTGTCTTTGTCTGGTTTTGCATTCTGGATAATAGTGACCTCACTGAATTTCTCAGAAAGTTTTCAATATTCTTTTCCTTATAGAAAGAACTGTACAGAGGACATAGAGAAAAGAATTCTTGTGTACTGTTGGTGGGACTGTAAATTGGTGCGACATTGAAGGAAACAGTATGGAGTTTCCTCAAAAATTAAAAAAGAAACCAAAACATATTGTTCAGGAATTCTACTACTAAGTATTTACCCAAAAAAAGAGAGAATGTTAATTCCAAAAGATATATGCACCCTTATGTTTATTGGAGCATTATTTATAATAATCAGGATATGGATGCAACCAAATGTCCACTGATAGATGAGTGAATACAGATGTAGTATTTATCTATCTATCTATCATCTATCATCTATAGATCTACCATGAAATATTACACAGCCATGAAATATGATGAGATATTGTCATTTGGAACTACATGAATGGACCTAGAGTGTATTACACTAAGGGAAATAAGTCAGACAAAAAATAGTATTTCTTTTCCGAAACATCATTTATATGTGGAATTAAAACAAAAGAATGAACAAACAAACAAATAACCAGAAACAGACTCATAAATACAGAGACAAAGTGGTGGTTGCCAGAGGGGAGGGAGACAGGGAATGAAATAGGTAAAGGGGATTAAAAGGTACAAACTTCCAGTTATAAAATAAAGAAGTCACAAAGATGAAAAGTACAGTATAGG